CAGATCCTATATAGGGATGGCCGGTGCGCTCACAGTGAGTGCAGTGCGGCCGGTCTCAAAAAGGACAAAAAAAAAAAAAGAAGAATAAAAGTTCACTCAAAAGAAAAATGGTAGGGCTCCCCCCGACCCACCCAAAAAGAAAAAGACAGTTCAGGTTTCAGCTTTGGACATCTGGAGAATTCAGAAGGTAAAACATCTCACTGCCCTTCAGTGTGAGATAAACAAGTATTACTCGCTCTAAAAAGTGCTTTCAACACTAATTCATTGAAGGAAATCACGTGTCCTGAAAGCCAGACTTACCAGGTCCACCACTGAAGTGTTTCTACCCCTTGGCAGGGAACCCTGGAAAAGGCGAGCCAGCAAAGCACCTCTCAGCTCCCCGGGGAGGCCAACAGGTGCCCCGGAAGCCCCCTGTCTGCCAAGGGTGGGAAAAGGAAACAGAGCCCAACACCTGGGTAAACAGGCTGGGGGGAGGCGCTGCCCTCTAAGGTGCTTATAGGTGCTGGAGAAGAGGGGGACAGGCCAAGAGGAACTCCACGAAGCTCCCCTGGCTGAGTATAACATTCCCACAGACCCTCCCTCCACCATGTAAACCACAACTCCCAGGAGCCTCTGACGACAAGAACACCAGGATGAACACTCACGAAGCTCCCCTGGCTGAGTATAACATTCCCACAGACCCTCCCTCCACCATGTAAACCACGACTCCCAGGAGCCTCTGACGACAAGAACACCAGGATGAACACCTCCACACTGTGGACTAAGAAAGCCCCCCTCCCCAAGAACAAAGCCAACCCACCTGTCGCCCTCCCAAGGCTGGCCAGCCCCTCTGCACAGTGTGGTCGGTGTGCAGACCCAGGAGCGCCACTCCCGGCAGACACTGAGCCCCTCCCACAGCCCGTGCCCTGGTCTTGGGGGTGCACAGCCTCTAGGCTCCCTGCTGCCCTATACCCAACCCCTCCCGTTCCAAACTCCCACCACCCCACCAAGCCCCTGCCCCATTCCCAGGACATTAGCTGGTCCCTCCCAAGCTCTGCACAAAGTCAGCCCATGCCCCACCCTCCACACCAGGCTGGTGCCCTCCCCCCATCCCAAATGCCCCCTACCATCTCCTCGCCCGTGACTTTGAGGGGTTGTTCCATGTCCCCACCGTCTCATGGTTTGTGATGAGGAGGCTCTCAGCACAGGCCTGACACACAGTAGGTTCTCAGCAAAGGGGGCTCTTCTAAGCTGGCTCAGACCCCCTCTCATGTAAACTCTCTCAGATCAGCCAGACAGAGGGAGCTGAGCCAAAGAGTGCACCTTGGCCTGGGGTGAATGTTAGCAGCACCTCTTATTGGGGGAGGTGCAGGACAGTTCCCCCACTAGCTTGGGGCCCCCAGTAACACCTGAGCAAGGAACAGCACCAGATACACCAAAAGCCACCTTCGGCCTTTCCACTCCCATTTAGAGTTAAGGAGCAAAAGACCCCTGGAGGGTGGCCAGGCTCCACCCCAGGAACAGAACCGCTTGCCTTTCCTTAAAGGGAATGGGAATTAACAAGCTCTGAGAGTCACATGAGCCTGCAATGCCTCAGCCAAATCAGCTCGGGCTGCCCAAATCTAACTCAAATCCCGCCTGCTACAGCACCCCGGCTCCATCCTCCACCCTGTGGGGGCACCCTGCGGCAGCAGCACCAGCAGGTGCTCAGAGTGCCATGCCAGGTCAGCTGGAAAGAGAGGAAGGTGGGGAGGGAAGGTGTGTGCTACTCTCCAGAATCAAGAACTATCTTCTTCCCCTTCCCAGATCCTCTCTCTTCTCTGCCTTCTCATGCAGCAGAGATGCCCAGCACACCACGGGACCCCCTGACCATAGACTCCTACCCTATCCACCCACCTGCCTGCCTATCCTGCGCCATCAAGGCATCCCTCTGCAGGGCCCCAAACTGGCCAGGCCACGAGAAAGGGGCGCTGTTCAGTCCCTCCTGAAGGACCCCACAGGACATGCTGACCCCCATCAAGAAAAGCCACATTTCCACAGAAGAAGCAAGGGGCGGTGGGGAGGCGAGGCTTCTGGAGATCTTTGTCTTGGGAGAAAGGCTGACAACAGGTCGACACCCACCGAATAAGCCCAGCTTGCACACACATGCAGGCCACCCTGCAGGGGCAAGAAGACAGGACACAGCAGCTGAATCCCATTTCTGAGCCAAAAACGCATGCGTCCTGCAGTGTGGCCCACGGCCCTGGAACCCAGCTTGCCCCAGCTTGTCCCAGCCCTGCGTCAAGACTGGAAGGCCGGCTAACTTTACAGGCCAATGGGGTAGGCTTACACCTCCACCTGGCACCCTCCCAAGCCACCCCGTGCCTGACAGATGCCCCCCCCCCAATGAGGGGGACCGCGTAATCACTTCACCCCACCCCCGTGACAGGCGCTGCCTCTGCTTCCAAGGCTGGCCCAGGACAGCTAGGGTTGCCATTTATATAATCTTCCAGGGCTAGGGCAGACACAGCCAACTGAGGGCAAGGTTATGAAAAATGCATGCCCAGAGCCTTCGCATCCAAAAGAAAAGGAAAAAAAACCCACCCGCATTTTGCATGACTTTCTTTTCAGACCTCTCGCACACCCATTTTGTGAACAAATGCAGTGCTCAGAGAACCAAGAGGCTGCTGACAGCGCTTCCAGGCCTTGCCCAGTGGTCCCAGTGCCCCACCAGGCCCTAGCCCTGGTCTCAGACCCCTGGGTCAGAAGAGACTCCTGCAGGCATCCTGGGCTGGGCTAACTACAACCTGCAGGACCAGGTTGGTGATAAATTAAGGGCAGCTCATAGCTCCCAAACCACCCCGTGAGGGCCTGGACACCATGCCTTGAAGCCCCCATACTACTTCTGCAGAGACAATGGTCCAGACCATTGGGTCAGTAAAATGGGTTATGAGGACTCTAGAAGGAGCAGAGCTGACAGACACGCCCTCCCGGTGCCCACTCTCCAGAGCACGGAGCACGCCCGCCACACAAGGAGGCAGGACCTCCACCACCAGCAGGCGCACAACCCCTGACCTGCCCACAGGCACAAACCCGCCCCAACACGCAGCGCAAACCCGGCGCGCGTCCTGCAGGCCACCCACACAGAGGGTGACACACGCGGCCACCCCTTATGCTGCCACGGCTGCCCACGGCCTGGCGCAGGAGCAAGGACGCGCCCAAGGACGCACTCGCGGACAGCCCACCTGCGGGCCAGCACGAGCTCACCTGCAGCTCACACCAGGCCACCTCCACCCAGGTCTCCGTGTCCAGCCCTTTGTAGACGGTCTTGAAGGAGCCACGGCCCAGTTCGATGTCGAACTTGAGGAAGCGGCCGTCCAAGGAGGTGGCCACTGCCTTGAGGTCGTCCTCATCGTCCTCCTGGTTCTCAGGCTCGTCCCGGCGTGCGCGCTCAGGCTCGGGCTTCGCCTCCGCCGCCCCCGCGTCCTCCTTCCTCACAGCCGCCGCCGCCTCCTC